TTACGCTTTAGAGAGAAGAAGCCAATTGGCTGGGACACTGACATTTCCTGGCTCACGGGAGAGGAGTTGCATGTGGAAGTCTTGGAGAATGTGCCACTCACGACACACAATTTTGTATGTACTGGCTTTTATGAAATGTTGAGTAGGGTTAAACCGACTTTGTACTTTCAAACTCAGCAACTTTCAATAATATTTTGTATCTGTGGGATGTGGTGGGGGTTGTGAAAGAAGTTTTTAATTAAGTGAATTAGATAAAATTGTAATTGAAATAAGTGATGTTAGAGTACTTGATTGCCCTTAAAACTTTCACGTTTGGCTGGAATACACCCTCTAAAATCTATAAATGTAGGGGGTTTAAATCAGCACTGCATTGCAGAGCTGTAATAATAATCTACTATTTTTGTATTGCTGTATCTATAAAATGTATTCTGGGCCTCCCTGCTGGCTCTGCAGCAGCAATTAACTAATGAACTAACTATTCCCAGAGCGGTGCTGACATCATCAGTGATGCTAGTGCACAAATATGTTTTGACCTGATAAGGCACCAAGTAAATGGAAGCTGCTAAACAGAATCCATCTAAATGGTTCCAGCTACATACAAAATCCTGGAAATAATGTTTCTCACATTGAGAAGAAAGACCTTTAATTTAAATAAAACCCCAAAATTCTATTTGCAAGCTGCTTAAACTATTTTACTCAAACAAGCTAGTTTGGCTATGACTAGTTAGATGAAAGTCTAGTAGGCTTAATACTTTTTTTATAACCTTCTGAAATTTTGATTATTAGATGTAGTAATACAACTAGAATGTGGTTGTATGCCAAATATTGCTAAATTTGAAAATGAAACTCAATCATTTCCCCCCCTATAATATGGGGATAAAATATCACCCTTTTGTGATGTTTCTGAGTTTCAGTAGTCAAAATTAAAAGTATATATGTAACCATACATAGAAGCCATATATATAAGCCATATGTGTATTTCCAGTCCTGTGAGTATTGGAAAGAAATGTCATTTGGCTCCTGGAAAAATTAGAAGATGAGATAATCTTTCAGCAGCTTTTGTTTTTATAGGTTGTATCCAATTAAATTCTGAATGTTTGTCTCTAGCATGATAATAGTGCGCTGTTTTGCTTCAGATTTGTTGCTGTTTTTCTCACTGCTAATGAAATGAAGCATTAATTCTCATGAATAGTTGAAAGAAAACCTTAATGCATGAAGACTGTTTCAAAAAGGAGACGATCTTTTATGTAAATCTGTTTGCTATATAAAACTGTAGCTCCAGCATCAAAAAAGAGGCTTGTAAGTGTATTTGAGGGAAGTAAAAGCAAATAGCCTACCTTAGGCTTACAGGAGGACTCTATTTAACTATGATTATTTTTGACAATGTAGGTACGAAAAACATTCTTCACGTTAGCATTCTGCGACTTTTGTCGAAAGCTGCTTTTCCAGGGATTCCGGTGCCAGACATGTGGCTACAAATTTCACCAGCGCTGTAGTACAGAAGTGCCACTGATGTGTGTTAATTATGACCAACTTGAGTAAGTAATCAAAATTGGTTTTCGAGTTGAGCCTTTTGATAAGCTTAATGCTGTCAGTGATTTCTTATGTTAAATCTGTAATTCAGGAAGTCAGAGGAGGTGCCTGAAAAAAATACAGGAGTTCAACTGTTCTTGTGAGACTGCATAATTCATATTCTCTCTGTGCTAGCTCAGACAACCAGTTCATATTTTTTTGCTGGACTATGAAATGCTTTCTTTGAAGCATGAATGGGGTGGCTGAGCATTTGATTGTATCAGACAGACTTCTCATTGTTCATAGTTGTTATTCTTAATCAAAACTGGTTCTTTATTATGTGATGGCTAGGGCCCTTGGACGTGGGTTTACATGCGGGTTTATTCTCTTCAGCCTGAAAAAAATGTTAAGAGACACTAGTTTAATATGGTGAAATTGCAGTTGGTTTTGCAGCGATTGAAAATAAATCCATTGGTGAGTTTGATGCCTAGGTGAGAAACATAAAAGAGGAAGTCCCAAACAGTCATGTGTTCTTGAATTTAATTATTGATCTATTTGTGTAAGTCTTTGATGCAGGTTAAGGACCTGGTGTACACTGACCCTGTGTTCTATTTGATTGGTTTCAGCGGAAGCGATTAAGTCTTTTAAATAGACTTTCATATAAGGAATAATTTAAAATGCTAGGTTTTCCTCCAAGGATAAATTTAATTTCTGCTTATGTTGGTATTTGTAACTTTTTCCTTGGGCACCTCTAGACTATGTGCTCAGGGCTTATGGATAACATAGTTCTGTCCAGTTAGTTTTTGGCATTGCATCAGTGCGAACATTAAAATAAGTTCGTGTACTCAACATACAGGTCTAAGTTGTGCATTCTTGAGGAACCAGATGTTTGCAATTTCAACTAAAAGATTAAATAATTACTTACCACAAAGGTATGTTTAAGGCATGATCTTTTGACCCTTGGTCAAGCAAATAGTATTTTTAACAAAACTTGAAGGTTAATGATGTATTAGTGTAGTCTTTATTTTAGAATTTAGAATTTTTTTAGGTGTGGCCCCCCCCCAGTCTCTGGGTGTTATATTGTGAAGCTTCTGGGTTTTGCACAAGTTAGGTTGTTTTTGTTTTGTTCTTGCCTCACAGTTTGCTGTTTGTCTCCAAGTTCTTTGAACATCACCCCATACCGCAGGAGGAGGCCTCCTTAGGAGAGACCACCCCAGCATCTGGATCGTACCCTTCA